ATGGGGTTGCCGAGATCTGGAGTCACAGGATGAACAGCAGGTCCATATTGGAGGGAGGGCAGAGAGCATCAGGAGGGGTGTTTCCAGGAAAAATGGAAGTTTGTTTAGTCTATTACCCAAACGGGTTTGTCTTGGAGAAAAATGACATTGTGAGACTTTTCTCAGGGCGGTCAGAAAGCAGTGAAAGATGTAGACGTAGGTTCAAAAGTTTAGACATGGATTTTTAAAACTAATAAAAAATAAAGACAAAAAGGTTCACAAAAAAGGAAATGCAATCATTGCAAATAACTTGGAAGAACAGTGAGTATTTCCACTGAAAACCTCAAAAAAGATTTGATTTACTTATTGGGAAGTTGGGGAGAGGAAAGAAGGGATCTCAGAGTGCCAAAATGATCAATTATCATAACAGGAAATCAATAGATGTGTAAAATAGATGAATCAAGAAAATGCACTACACACATACTTAATGTAGAAGGCAAATAACAAAATAAACTACTAAAAGAGCACAAAGTAATTGTTTTTGAGTAGAGATTGAGAAAAATAGTACAGGAGACTGATGCTTTAGCTTAAATCTTTTAGACTATTTGACTTTTTAAACTAGGTACACAAATTACTTTGCTACAAAATGGAAACATTTTAAATACCAAAATCCATGAAAAAAAAACCTTTCTCACATTAAAAAAGCCCCTCCCTTCTAATGACTATATCTGAATTCAGTTAAAAAAAAACATGAATATTTAAAAGATGCATTTTTTAAAAAGGTAGATGAAATAAATCTGGATATCTTTAACTACTATTTAAATTATCTTGAGATTAAATTTGCTGACTTTGCAAATTACACACTGAGCAAAAAACCTAATTTCCTATTCATGGCTTCAGAAAGCTGCACTTCCTATTTCTGACTTGACTTCCTAATTAAAGAAAAAAAAAACCGTCCTAATAAAATATTGATAACATGTCATTCTTTTCTGCAAAAAACTACAAGTATCGCTCAAGGGGAATCAGAAAATGTTTAGTGAATGTTACGGTACATCTTAATTCATCTCGTCCTAAGAATGAGTCCTAGATACCTTTTCAGAAAATAACATGAGAACGTACAGAGCAAACACTGGTTAATTCTTCCACCAAGTGAGCCATATGTGGCGAAGCGGCCGTCTCGCAGTTATGTCCTGACACTGGTAACCAGCCTGCCTTGACAAAAACAATCATCAGGTTACCTGTGTGGCTCTCCTACTAGAGTGGAAGCCCCTCGAGGGCGGTGGCCATGTCTCATTCACCTTAGTTGCTCGACATGAACAACCAAGCCTGAGATCCTGTTGTTTCCCAATACACATTTCAATGAATCAATGCACAAATTAGTGAGTGAATCAGTATCAGACTCTTGTTCAGCCTCCGTTGAAAATGTAAAGCTAGATGCCTATTTTTAAAAAGGAAAAGCCTAAAGTGCATATGTATAATTGCTAGTGAATCTTTGCACAGCACTTTAAATAAGAGGATACTTCCTGAAAAAGTCAATTGCCTTTTTCACAAGACTTTGTGTTCACATATCTGCAAAAGAAAGGTCAATAGAAAAAAAAAATCTTCAGACTTCATTTACTTTTCAGAATGTATTAATTTCCTTTTAAAATAAGCTAAATGTCATACTTGTTAATCATCACTTCCACGGCCAAGAAAAATAATCCAAATTTAACACCAGGTGTCAGGACTGCAGCACTCATAGAAAAAAAAAAAAAAAGGAATCATTATTACAATGAGATGATGATTTTACGGCACATCAGTCACCATATTCTATAGCAAGTTCCCATACCTTAGTTTTAGAAATGTGTGTCTTGGGGAATCAGATACAATACATGCTATGGTTACATTTAGTCAAACGCTCACACATATTTCACATTACAGTGGGCGCCCAAATACAATGTCTACATGGAATGACCACGTCTTAAGTAAATTTCTAATAATCAGTGCCAAAGCGGTGACTTGCAACTGTGGGAAGTGCAGGCATAGAAATCACCTAGAAAGCTTTTTCAAACTATATTCCTCCTTTCCATTCTGTCTTTCGGGTTTTTGGGGTTTTTTTTTAAGCCCCTTCAATCCCCAGCTGGGAGGGCATGTCCTCCCAGTTCAGAATCACTTCTGCACTGGGCTACAATTACTGACTGGAATATGTTCTATACTTCTGGTACGATTCTATGCAGTGGGGTAACAAACATATACAGATTAATTTTAAAAGCATGGCTCAGTTTAGTGATGGCAAATTCATCCATCTGCTATATTGACTTGACCAGTTGGCTGGGGCTACTTGAAACAAAGGTTGAGAAAAAATGTTTGGTCTCAGACACAGATGCAGTGATTAGTTTAGTAATGTCTGCTGAGGCAGAGGTGGGGGCTGCAGCACATGAGGGATAGATGCCACCTCACCCTCTAGATGTCCTAGACCAGCCCCCCAAATTCAATCAAGCAGAAGACAGGTCACAGGCTCTGGAACAGCAAATACTTTGATTTAGTTAAAGCAGCAACATACCCTGGGAGGGGGTGTGGCAGAAAGATGCGCATGCATCTACTCTGGGTGACCTCAATTTCTCTGCACCTGTTTCCTCTTCTTAACACAACAGCTCCTCACAGGAAGCTGCTCTCTGAGGCCTCTACCCAAAGGCCTATGGCTGGTTTTTCTTTCTCTCTTTTCCTGGTTAGTTCCTAACTCATAAGAGTTGGAGTGTTTTAAACCTTACATGCAAAGTCTCATCAACTCATGAAAATCACAGCAATCAATTAAGGCTAATTTTCTAATTTTCACATTTGAAGCATAGCTATAAGCCCTATTCTAAATGTGTAGGGTGTGCACTGAATTTTGTAGAGATGGTAATGACAGATGGTGACTTAGCTTGATATTTAAAAAAAAAATGTCCCCACCCCCAACCAAAATGTACTGTAACTGTTTATACAGCTTTATGTATAATAGAAATAACACAAATAGTCAATAACAGGGATTTGGCTAAAGTATAAAACATGTTGACAGGCTGCAACTATTGAAAATTATATATAAAAATATTTAATTACATGGGAAAAACCATTGAATAAAAGTTTATCCAGGGCTTACTCCTTAGTTATGAGTCGTGTATGCTTATTCAAGCCGTGTATGCTTGAATAGAAAAAAAGACAATGTTAATAGTGGTTATTTTGGGCTGTGGGTTTACTATTTCCAAGGCCCAAGTGAATGAATAAAATGGAAGGGCTGAGACAGTAGTGGGGACTGTGAACTGAAGCACTCATGCCCTTTCAACAGCATTCAATAAAAACTTTTAACACTATGAAGGCCAAACAAAACAATTAGCTACTTTAATAATTCCTGGACTTGGGGGCATTTGCTTCCTTGTGTTTTTGTACAATATTTTGTACATTTTCTACAGTAATTATGAATATGCTTATATGCGTAATTATTTTAAAATGGGAAGGTAGCCTTATCAGTAAAATTCAGAAAAAGATCTTTATATTTCATTGATGGCAAAATGTTTTGGAAATCTTTTTTAGCCAGCATGTAAACAGGAGTGATTTTGACAAATTTGTAGTATTAACAATGAAAATCTGAGTCTCACAAATCATGGAGTCAAGGTAGAAAAGATCAGCCTCTTCTTTAGAAATGTGTACAGTAAGGTTATTCCAAGGTCGTACTGCAGAAGAGTGGAGGTGGCCCCAAGGGCTCGTAACACAATGCTGACAGAAATCTGGCCGGTGCTTTCTAAGGCGCAGATCTGAAGTGTGGAGGCCTAAGTAGTCTTGGTATCCGAAGTAGATGCATTCAAGGGATGAAAGCCCAACAAAATCTTAGCTGACAGGGCAGGGGAGGCTACACAGGTGGGAACACCGCTCACAGAATGGGGGGAGACGTCAGAGGTGAGGCACGAGCCAGGCAGGCCGGGTCCTGGCTGTTGTTAAGGCTCATGGCAGTAACATGAAAACAGAACAGCCAGCAGCTGGGCAGGCTTATTCAGGGCTGAGATGACCTGTGCTGCCAAAAGCCACCTTTTAACGAGCTGCTTTTGGGGACATCTCTGATCCATCCTGCTGACAGGTACTAGAAGGTGTCCTGCGAGTGCCTACAAGGCACTCAACGCTTTCGTCCATCTTTATGTCCATGTGAGGTGGACAATCTTTTCCCCACTTTATAAACTAGTAAAGAAATGTTACACAGACCCAGGCCCCACTGACTTCAAAGCCTGAGCAGGAGTCACGTCCTTCCTTGAATCCAATCTCCAAGCCTGACAAGCAACAGGCCCACTCACCTTTTCAGCAGCCTGGGCGGGCACACCAGACCACAGGAGACAGAGACACCTTCCCCAGGGCTGGATGTGTCGTTAAGTAACCCTTTAGCCAGGTCAGTCAGAACAGCCGAGCGTTCCCCACTTCTCACACAGGGCCATTCTAACAGAAACTTTCAGGCATCACAAGATGTACCCTAACCTTAGAGAGCTCCACAAATAATTAACACCCCTAATTCATAAGACAGTGTTATCAAGTAGCCAAACATAACACATATCAGTTGACTGAAAAAAATTAGAACAAGTGCTGTTTTACTTTGATGTGCATATCTCTGAAAAGTGTTGACTTACAACAATATAAATTAAGTTCACAATTCATAGTTCAGTCCATCTCAAAGTAGTGGCTTATAGTTATTATATAAGCATTATTTACTGCCATTTTCATCTGTTTTGATCACAGAAGGGACATTTGTGAGTATGAGGTCCATGAACCTTGAGCGCACAACTCCTTTTTTACCCCAACCCATGGAGGCGGTAATAGCTTATGTGTAATATGACCCCCTGATCGGCATCTTATTCCCACAGGAAACATCGAACCTCCCAAAACATAATCTTCATCTATGCAGAGGCCACTTAATTGCCAATGTGCAAAGCAGGCTCACAAGAAATCAAGACAGACAAAATAAATGGTGAATTTTATCTACAAAAACTATATACTTACTTGACCAAACCATCAAAGTTACATTGTATTCCAAAAAATTTATTTGAGGTAATAAAGTATCTAATACACTTTAGAAATATTTCTATCCAACATTAAAAAGCATTAATGTTCAAAAAGATAAGCTTTTGTTAGCTGAAAGCTTTCCTCACAAGTCATGAATGAGAATTCTTCAGGAACACAGAATAAGCCACTTCTATAGAAGATAGATATGGAAACACAAATAACTTTAATGATTTATGGTAAGTAAAAAGGAAGCTTGAATCTACGATTGAAAAATGAAAATAATTACAAGTATATCTATGCAGAAAATACACGTTTCAAGAGCTTAACATCCATCAACTGCTGTCAAAATAAATATTTAAAGAAACCAAAAGATAAAACTGCTTCCCAGTGGGGGACGAAATATGACAAAGAAGGAGGGGGACAGACTAAGTGAAGGAATAAAGGGAAGTGAGCAACAGTCTCCAAGGTGTTTTTATAAACAGGGATCAGAACAGAGGAGCAGACACAAACTTGTCTAGAGATGTGACCAGTGAGCTAATAGGAAGTGATAAAAAGTCAGTTATTAATCAAAAATGACGACCCAACTCCCAAAACATCTTCAATGCTTTCATCCAGACATTATCTAACGCCTCAGATTTGCTTGGTGCCACGGTGCCCATCACTGTCCATGAGAACAAAGCCTGGGACAAACACATGACTTGTAGGCAAGAGTGTTTCAGAGCTAGTTCACCCTCCAAGGTCAGGGTCAGCAGTACATCACTGTGTTCACATAATATATTTCCTGATATGGAAAAGTAACATGTCAAAGAAGAAATTAAAGTAAAATTTATTTTGAAATAATCAGCAGAATCTCAAATTTCAGACTCTTCTCAGAATTCTCTCATCCAGTGGGTATCAAACTGCTCTCTTTGGCCCATGAGGATCCAAACTGGCAGGTCTCCCAGTGTCTTCCTTCCCATGACTTTAATGTTAGAAGAACATTCAATTTCTAGGGAGACTATTAAAGGATTCATCTTCCTAAACTATGCTTTCAAACGATCTACTCCACCTCGCCTATCACCAACGAGAACACTCCGACGCGAGTAACGGCGGGGTCCTCCCGTTCCCAGGTGGTCTCCTGTCCAGACTCTGCAGCCGGGACGCCGTGGAGTTATGAGTAGTCCTGCCCACTTCCACCTCTACTCATTGCTAAGGCCTTTTGTATCATCTGGACAAAAACCTGTTCTAAAGCAAGCAGCCTCCAACGTCTTCTGCCACAGCAATCTAAAAAAACACTTTATGAAGAAATTAAGACCTTTAAAAATAGTATTTTAGCAATGTGTAGCAAAGTCTATCAGAAAAAACCTGCTTCCTAATTTAATATGTTAACATTTGACAACTTGCTAATCTGGTGAGCCCTTCTAAAAAATACTGATACTAAAATTTGTTAGAGAAAATGCTCGAAGTGTACATACATATATTGTAGAGAAATACAGTAGCACATTGATCATCAACAAGAAGCAAGTGTATACAATAAAAATATGTGCCATGAACCCAATGGTGATTTTCACTACAATCATGTTAAGGTTCAAATCATGATTCCCTGATGAGTAGACAAGATAAAAATAAGGGATAAAAATGTAGGTACAGATAGCCAAGTAAATTATAAAAAACTAAAAAAACAGTGTTAAGATGAAGACAACTGTAGATGGCAGAATTTAACACGCGTGGTGACACATGTAGACCAGGTACTATTTTCATTACAATAAAGCCAGAATACATTATTTGCCTATATCCTTTGTTTACTAAAGGATGGCAAAGTATTTTTGCTGGTGGCAGAGTGCATTTTTCATCAAAGAACATTAAAAGGCTGAGGCAGTAATGATACCACTTGTATAATAACCAATAGTTCTAATACCTTATTAATTGTTGATAGCTGATAATTTTGAGTAGAAAAACATGATGAATCAAAGCATATGACAGTTTTAAAAAGAAAATCCTTCAAAGCAATCTCAGGATCTAACTGGTAAACACAGACTAAATTTCTAATCTGGCATTAGGTATTTTTTTAATTCAAGGAAAAAAAATATATACGAATGAGTACTTATTTGTAAAAATGGGAATGATCAACAGAGCGTAATGGCTGGGTTCTCTCACTAAGTTCAAGGTGAAAGGTTCATCTGGTGTGGTGTTCAGTCATCAAGAGGGAGCAACTCAAAGGACATGACACACTGTATGAGCCAGCTGGAAGGAGCCATCCAGACTTTGCCGCGCCGCACCCTCTCTGGGCGACGGCTGGGCAAATCCTCATAGATGATATACTGTGTGCAGAAGCGCTGATCAGAGTCTGGTTTGGCATGGTACGCCACTGTGTTGATGGTCTGAGTCACGTCGCTGTCTGGTTTGGGCTTTCTGCTGAGGATCTGGCCCCCCGCTGCCGTGGCAAGCCTCATCAGGTTGTCCTTCGGATGATGTCTGAAGGTTCCCCCAAAAAAGAAGTAGCATCCATCAAACAGCTTTGGCAACTGCAGTAACGACAACAAAAAAGCTTGTTAAAAGCAGATCAAAGTATTTTAAAACACTGGATGTAAGTGAGGGAATTAAAAATAATAGAAACAAGCAGTAAGCGGTTATCTAAGCAGGGGCTGGAGCAAGTTGCACTTCCAGTAAACTCTTTGAGTCATGAAAACTACTCACGCAGGGGCTTCTGAGGGGCCCAGGAATCCTGAAGCCATGGATTACCCATTATGTCAGCGGCTCTCAACCTTTCACAGGGGTCGCCTAAGACCATCGGAAAACACATATTTTCGATGGTCTTAGGAACCGAGACACCGCTCTTCTATCCGTCTCCAGGCCCACATGCAGATACGCCCACATACGAGTACCTGGCGACCCCTGTGAAAGGGTCATTCGACCCCCAAAGGGGTCGCGACCCACAGATTGAGAACCGCTGCATTATGTGCTTTGAGATATGCTTTAAATGTTTTTTTTCTGGAATCCCTGCAACTACCCTAAAAAGTGAATGCATTGTAGAACAGGCTTGTGTTCTAGACCATCAATGGAACCTACAATTCAAAAGTCAGATATTGTCTTTGCAGAAAATCTTAGTCGACATTTTTATTGTATCCAAAGAAGTGACAATGTGATTGCAAAAAGCCAACTGATTCAAAATCAAATATTTGTAAAAGAGTAACTGGGTTGGGAGGAGACAAAATCCTTACCAATAGTTTATCAGATTTCTTTAAAAACTGTAGTTATGTGACAACGGGTAATGCTTGGTTAGGTGATAATCTATAGACTTCTACAGATTCCAGGTACTACGGATCTACTCCATATGGACTAATAAGAGGATATATCTTCTTTAAGATTTAGCCTCTAGGGTCGGCTGGTTAGCTTAGGTGGCTAGAGCGCAGGCTCATAACACCAAGGTTGCTGGTTGAATTCCCACATGGGCCATGGTGTTGCGCCCTCCACAGCTAGACTGAAGACAACTACCTGAATTGGAGCTGATGGGTCCTGAAAAAACACCCTCCACAACTAGATTGAAACAACTACTTGACTCGGAGCTGATGGATCCTGGAAAACTTACTGTTCCCCAATAAAAAAAATAAAATAAAATTTTTCTAAAAAGAAATGGTTAAGATGGTAAATTAAAAAAAAAAAAAAGATTTGGCCTCTGAGTGATTTTGGATTCCTACATGATAGCCCTAATGGCCACAGATTTTCTGAAGATTAACAAACATTTATTCTTTAGATTTGATTATTGTCTCCTGTTCAAGTGAATTTGTTATTGCCACTGAGACCATGTACTTTCTAATAAACTATTTGCTATTCAAAAAAAAAATCCTCACACATTTAGAGGTTTCCTATTTACAATCTTGTGACTCAGTTACCATCTCAGGTACTTTTTTACTGTCCCCAGGTTTTAGGTGTATTATGCAAACAAAAACTCTTCATCAATCTCTTATCAGAAGGTTTATTCATATCTGGTGGGACTCAGAGCCTCAAGAATTCCTAGGGTATCTGAAATATGCTTCAGGGATACTAAGCTAAACTTAGTTAAAGTGTAAGAGTAGCATCTTTTCACATGGACCTCTATCCAGTCCTGCCCATCCGTATCCAGGTCCCTATATTACCAACCTAAGGTCTCTAGAGCACCCAGGGTGGGAGTGTGGCCTGTTGGTATTCAGAGATGTATTCTTTGTCTAGGGATCCAATTAGCTATGAAACACACTTCTGTGTGCTTTATTTAAAAAAAAAAAAAAATTTCACAATTCTCTTCAATGAAAATTTTTCTTCATAATTTCTAATATACTTATGTATCAATAGGATAATAGAACATTACCCATTAAAGCTGCACTATATAGCAATAAAGACATATGGTAAGTAAATCCGAGCAGCAGCTGTAAGTCTTCTTGCAGGTTACTTCCTGTATGTGTGACTTCCCTCCGATTCTGAAAGGTTTATGGGAATGTTCAAGATGCCAACACCCCATTACCATGTGGAATTATTACCTTCTGAATTTTACTGCTCATAGCCATCATCTCTCAGAATCAAGTGCTTGAAATACGTACAATTAAAATTTTAATCAGTCACCAGTACTTGTGGAAAGGGCAGGAGAAGTTTTTCCTGATGGGGACAAGATTCAGTTATAATGAGAACAATGAAAGTAGCAGCAAGAGAAAAATACCAGCTGTTCTCTGTTGAGCCTGCTTCTCTGTGGTCCTTCAGGAATTTCATACTTTTCTTCCTGCTCACATTCTTTGCTTTGTAGACACGCTTTCACCCCTGATTTAAAAAAAACAAGGAGAAAAGCAAACTAAATATCAAGGAAACATTATTTCTTTCTCATTGAAATTAAACAATTTGTCTAAGTGATTTTTCTTCTTCACAGTTTCATTTCAAAATAGCAATAGGATCTTTATTTATGCCAAAGCAAAATATAATAAAACTGGCTTTCCATATAAAAAAAATACATAAGAATTCTTTTTCAGAGGACTGAGCAATGAACTAGTACCACACTAACAAATTTGATTTTCCTTTCTGAAAAACCCAAATCTATACAATATTTCACAAAGAATAAAAATCTAAATTATTTATAGCCATTATCAAAATGAAGGTGAATAAAAAGTCCCTCATTTAGTTCCGCCCACAATGACCTGAACTTGAGCGCTCATCTGCTCATTGTTCACAGTCATGTCTAATCACCTGTTAGTCTTCATGATCTGACATTAAGGAAGCGGCTTTAGTCCACAGCACCTGGCTCAGCTGGCCACACACCAGGGGCTCCACAGTACTTGTTAAAATAAACAACAAGCGGAGCCGAAGACATGCTTGGGGTTTGACAGGTGCAACACACTGAAGTCACCATTTAAGAGATGACTTGAATATTTCCAATGTTTTAAAGCTGCTTCAACTTAGATCTTCAAAGACGCTGCTTAGCACATAAAAGTGAGAAGGTTTTAACAACTCAATACTCCATCACTCAAAAGGCAGAGCTTTGTCAAGAGACTAAATCTTTTTCTTAACTTGGACTGTTAATGCATATTCAAATTCAACACTCAGCCTTGGGCTATCCATCATTCCCTCTCATGTGATTCTTAATGTGTTAGTTTTGCCTGTGCTTTGGTGTTCCTTTCCCCCAATGATTTTAGTACAAGAATCAGACTTAGCTAAGTTTGCTATACTGAATTTCTAAATCCTATTCTTCTCACTATTTTATCTTAAATATTATGTTCTATAAAAATTGTTGGGTTTGCATGTAATAAAAATATTTTACAAATATTATCATTTTTAATAATTGCTCACTGAGTAAAAAATGATCCAATGAAGCTAGTATTAAAGTATTAACTTTGCTGTGCATTGAAAATGAGACTCAAAATAAAATTTCTGACTAGGTCAAAGTATCTCATCAGACACATTGCCAGTGTGCTCACATCGCATCATACACTGTTTCCACATTAAACACCAACCCCCAAAACATTAGTAATCTAGCTAAATCACTGATGTACCTCAAGCTAATTATTTTACATGTAAACTACTGGGTTGTCGGAAAAATGTCATGATGTATTTTTTCTACGTTTTTTCGTTGCAAAAATGCTTCATGACTTTTCCGACAACCCAGTATTAGCTTGTATCATTTGAGCATTTGTCCCCTTCCTAAATCCCCTTTCCTAATGATATTTGCAGAGCATTCGTACCAGAACATTTAGGTAAATGAAACGTCAGCCTATAAAATCCAAGGGCTTTTTGGATGAACACTCCTATGATATCTACTGTAACAAGTGAATGGTTAATGTCTAATTACAGAAATTACAGAAATAAATAAATGCGTGTGCCTATACTGGCTGATTATCCACTTCATGGGTTTATTTTCTGTCAAAAATCGTATTAACATGGTGCCTATTGTTCCTGGTAATGTGTTGACATTAGTTAGTCAACAAGTGTAGCCTTAGCAGACATCAGAATGGGGTAGGCATGGCATCAAGAGAAATGAGATGGCAGACAAGAGGGCAGCATGGTGCTGCCACAGGAGGATGCCAGTGCTTTTGTAGTGTAATTATGCCTCAAGTCATAAAACTCTCAGCTTTGTAGCAATTGTTCAGTACATTTCTGTAAAGGCAGAAAATCCCATGCTCCAATTACCATCACTAAGCTGAATGAAGGCTGCATTCCTCTGATAGTCTCTTATTCCAGGTAACAATGTGCTAATTCTCTATGCCACATAATAACAACTAAAGAAGAAAAATAAAGTGTGTGTGTGTGTGTGTGTGTGTGTGTTTGTGTGTGGGGGGGGTCCTCCGGAAAATCAAGCAGCAGTTTCCAGGTCAGTAACATGTTTGAAAGGTGACAAAGTGTTCTGTTAGAGTAGCTGTCATGGCACAGAAACCATGGAGAATTTTTTGAAAGCTAGGCGTGACACGTAGTGCAAGGGTGGCAACTCTAATACCTAATACCTCCAAGGGCCAATCAGGCTACATAAACATGGGAGGAACCTGGTGTTAACTGGTAGGAAGTGGTGGAGAATCCAACAAATGGGAAAATGCATATGATACTTAAAGACACAAAAATTAAATGGTTATGCTGGACATAACCACATAAATTTTGTCTGCTTTGGCCCTCTGACTGCCAATTTGAAAATTCCTGATGCTTCATCTAATCAAACTCTCCCTTTCATAGATAAGTCCTAAGAGATTTAAAGCAGCTTGTCCAGTGACACAATTGAAGACATAACTGTTTATACTTTTTTAAAACTGAAAATCCTGTTTTACTTAATACTTTAGTCTTAATAATTATCAGATAAAAATATGAATTTTTTCAGGGAATATCTTTAAGCATCCCAGAATTTTCTTAATTCTCTCATATTTAGGTTGTTCTCCCAATTTCCTGATATTAGAAATAACAATGCAAATAGTTTTTATTCTTTCATCTATATTACTTGCTTAGGGTAAATTCTCAGAAGTGAAACTATTAGATCAAAGGATGTTAATTTTTTTATTATAAAGGATTTCTGTTAGCATTTAAAGTTGCCTAATCAATCTTAGTTGATAGAAATGCTATATTTACTTTCTGATAATTAGCAGTTTGAATAGAAAAAAAATGACATTTAAAAAATTCCACAGCACTCTTAATATCCATTTGAAAGAACAAATTTTAATAGGAAAGTATAAATATGTTAACTTGATGATGAGGTTATTTATAAAATGACAATATAATGATTGTCTTTTAGGTTCCATCCTCCTCAACTAAAGCAAAAAACAAAAAGCAGCCTATATGGCCCTTCCTCACCTCACACACAAGTCTAATGCCAACTGTTTGGCACATCCCCACAGCAACTCCCTTAGGGGCTGAACACTTTCAAAACTTCCACAGGAGCAATTTTATTTAAACTTAAATGAGAGTGGAGAAGAAGGAGAGATTATTAAAGAAAAGAGGACAGCCATCTGCCCTCCCCTTCACAAAAGAGATAAAAAACGAGAAGGCAGAGTTGTTTTTTAAAAGGTTAGATTAGAGAAAATTTTGAAAGCAGTACATTAAAAGAACAAGTCAATAAAAGATATTTTCTCTTACTTAAGGCTAGTTTACATCTTTAAGATGCAGTTCCACCTAATTTGGACTCTAACAGATGAATAAAATGACTTATTTGTCTTCTATTCTTTCATTCTAGTCACCCTCACACAGAGATGATTATAAGTTGCCTGTGAGGAATTAGTGTCAAAACTAGGCTACCAAAGTCTCAGTCACAAATTTACTGTTGAACAAGGAACTTTTCCTATCTGTATCTCCCATTTCTGTAAAACATCTGTAAAATAAATATGATGTGACAGAATGGCTGGTACAATAGTAAAATTATGGCCTACTATCAAAATCTTCATGCTAAGTCCATTTACTATAACACTACAATAGTAAAATTATGGCCTACTATCAAAATCTTCATGCTAAGTCCATTTACTGTAACACTGTAATATATCTTTCATATACAATGTATAAAAACAAGGAATATTAACCAATTAAGACACAACATTTTTAAACAGAAAACTTCCAATGGTTAAATTTGGGTAGTTATTCTTTTTGTTAATTTGTTTAAATTTGTTAAGTGAGTCAATTATCTATAAGAAAGTTTAATTAAAATTTTCTCTTAAATCTACGCGGTTTATGGAAAGTCCCATTAAAAGATATTAAAGTTTCTATATAGTTAAGCCAGTAAAGGTTTTGTTTACCAGCAAGCTAATGAGTATCCTCAAAACATTAGATCTAGGTTTAATAAATCATAAATTTTTACAATTAATTTTGAAAGCTTTGGTCCACCTCATCATTCTTTAATATGGATGGTTTTCAGATAGTTTTGAATAGGTCCGAAGATTTCTTTTTAATCAAACCAGATGCCTAACACTAAGAACAATATAGAAACTGTGAGACATCTGTATTAGGAAAGAAGGTTTTTGAGGGTTCTTGCCTTCTAATTGTCTCAAACTCTGAACCTACTTCTCTGTGGACTCTGTATTAGAAAACATGGGGATATGAACTTCAATAAGAGATTCCATCCATCCTTTCTCACCGATATTAGAATGTGTTATTCACTACTGTGAGAATCACAAAATAGCACACTATCTAGTCAGCTTGAGTCCATCTGTGATTCTGTAAAAATGGCATGGCCACGCCATTAAGTGTACAACTGCCTTAGAGAAGACAGCTTTTATGGACAGGAATCACGTCGAATGGATATGTAACCAAATGCAAGTTCAGCATATTCACAGGAACTATATATTCAAAGTTAAGTGGTAAGTGCCTTACATTCAACATTTCACATGGGTTTTTTATTACTGACAACTTATTATTAGGAAAATCTATTCCTTCCTATAACCACTGGCCAGATTTCTGGCACAGATTCAGTACAAAAGCCTTTATAACCGTGGAACCATTTTAAATCAGTTTTTTAAACATTGAGGCGCAGTGACAGATCTGAAAGGGAAAAGAAGTTTCAAAAATAAGAGACAGAAGGGACAGTTTTGTTCCTATGTAAATGGTCAGTTCAATCACTTATCATGCTTTTAAAACTGGTCACGTATGGGAGAGGCTAACAGCAGACTGGTGAGATGGGACACAG